AATCTTGGCTCAAGACTCTCTCAAAATACAGGTCTGTGCTGAACAGAAACTTCATTACTGATAGGTCATGCTGTGGGTCCCTATGAGCCCCCAAGAGGAACCCTCCTTCCACGCAATCTCTGCATCACTTCCAAGGTGTATTTTGTGAGATGGTGTGCAGTTTCCTCATCACTTAGCCAGGGATAACAGTTGTGGAGGATAAATGAGAGAAGCAATGGAAAAAAATGTTCAGATACACACACACAAATGTTCAATACACATACAAAGTGAGATCTGGTGTAAAACAAAAACAAAACCACAAAAAAACACTGCTTTCCAATACAAAGAAGACTAAAATACCCAAAACAAGAGTGGTGGGATACTGATTTTTCACTTCACAATTTCCTATGATAAGGAAATAACATTTTTATGTTTATCCAAAGTCATGTGCTACAACTGAGGGGTAACTTGGCTTATAGTCACAGTATGACAATCCCTGCACATGAGATCTCATGTTGTTGTTGTTATGTGCCATCGAGTTGGACCCAACTCAGATATCCCTCCTTGGGCTTCCGAGGCGGTATCACTATGGAAGTAGATTGCCCAACCTTCCGAGGCGTGGCTGGTGGGTTTGAACCACCAGCCTTCTGGTTAGCAGTCAAGTGCCTTAGGCACAATGCTACCAGAGCTTCTTGAGATCTCATAGGGGTCCTAAATGAGAAGGGACCCTGAAGGATTCCCTTATTTTACGTGAATGTAGTATAACTCTACAGTCTAATGTTTCACATATTTTGTAAGAATTCAAAAAGATCTGTAGACGTTGCCATGTTCCTTGCATACGTATTTTTCACAAGTATGCTTTCTCATATAATTGAGGTAATTAGTGAAAGCTTTCCCATATGTAGGAAAATCATCACATCTTGGAAAGTACAGGAGAAGCAAAAAGTTTCCCCTATCATTCTTTACACTACATGTTTATTGAAAAGTAGAGGGATAACCATGTGTTTTCTTTCAGATGTTTTGAAAGATGAGGAATGACCAAAAACTTTCCAACATTACTTTCATGTATGTTGTTTCTAGGTACCTTCTCAAGTCTTCAAAAAGCTAAGAAAGAACTGAAGAGTTTCT